ATTATTTTTTATTTTACATATCATTTTGGTGGGACCCACACATTCACCTCGAAATGATGAAATTAATTGTACGTTTTTATTGATGGGAGACATTTAACTTTAAAGTCTTTTTTTTTTAATCCCAACTTACCGTTTCATGCGTTCCATCATTTACATCTTTTGAAAACTTTAGTAGCTTTCCTATTTATGTTTGAGACACAACTTTATGATCATTTTAATATTTTATAACCAGTTAAAGTTTCAATCTAATTGTACTTTTAGCAGGTTTAAACTATTGTAGATGCAATGTCGAAGAACACGAACCCTTTGTCAAAAGCTTACAACTTTTAACGGTTGAAAAGGGTTACACTTTATATATGTCAATAATAATTTTGTTGATACCGCTGGCCTGTCACTATGGACCCATATAAGTAAGGTCCACGAAACTTTCAATCTTCGTCCCACAAAGAACTGGATTTTTGTTATCTTCTATAAATCCACACTTGCTCAGGTTCTTCTCTTTCACAACTAGGAAATCACGAACCGAAATTCATACTCATTTTCGTGATTTTTGTAAAATCGGATATATTAATTATTTAAAGTGTTCACGGTAGCTAGATATATATATATATAATCATCCGAAATAGTGAGAATAGAAATTTAATCAAATGTTTTGAAAGTTTGTAAAACATTTTCATTTATTTTATGATGATGTAGTAGAACAATGCATGGGTAACTCCGCTTTTGAGAAATCTGAATTTTGTATGACCATAAATATCAAATAGTTAGTTGGATGCTGATATTGGCATGGGAAATTTATTGAAACGAAATTTCCATTTATTGGCTACAAAATTAGGTTCCATCCCGACATGTGTGTGCATGTTCAATCCCTCTCTCACATCCCTTTGTTTGCTCACGCAAGGTAAATGAACTTGTTTTCAAAATTCACGAATTGTTACCATTTCTTAGACGAACTTTTACATGAAATACACGATATACTACTAAGTTACTCACGTCTTGATATATGATAATGAGTATTGACCATGTATAGAGCATGCTATTATGCTAATCACAGTATAAACAATGAACTTATCAAAATCCTTTTCCCTTGTTCAAAAAGACGTATTAATAAGATTTAATCTTTTACGCCTGTGATTTGCTTAAGTACATGAATCTAGTCAGAGATTCTGTAGGATCTAATGTAACTTTTTTTTTTTTTCATCAAGATCTAATGTAACTAGGTCTTTACTTGTCTCATAAGATTTAATCTTTTGCTAGTGTTGTGTGTATAAGAGCAACCCTAATAGGGGTTCGTAAACATGATTCTTAATAAATAATAAAATATATATATTATTTAATATTAGATAGGTACCTTAAGAAACAATTGGGCTAAGTTTTTCCAAATTTAAAATACTCATAATTAAAAAATATTATTTATTTATACTTACAATTTGATTTTGTTTAAAAAACCTATGTTTAGAAATTCCCATTAAGTGCTCTAAAGGCTTATGATTTTTATTTTTTACTAGTTCCTACAGGATCCATTTATAATTATTAAACCCAAGTAAAGAAATGGGCCCTCACTGCTTATGATATTTTGTAGGTGGGAACTCAAATAACATATAAAATATCCATGGACGACCATGGTTATGCCACTTTTCTCAGATCAATCATCTCTGTTGCCCATGTCGAAATCAATCATCTTCTATCATTATAATGTCTAAATCTGGGGTCTTAAATCGTTCTGGTACAATGATTCGATAAAATTTGTACACCATTGATCTTTCAACCTCCATTTTCTGCCTTGATGATTTGTTTTTTATAATGAAGACAATTATCAAACATTTTTTCCTCTCATTTTTCTTATACATATATTTCATTTCTGTGCATATATAGATAGAGGAAAAAATGAGAAATGAAATAACACAAAACATAATTAAGATTAAAAAAAAACATAATTAAGATAAAAAAAAAAAAAAAAAAGCCAACTAACTCAAAATTCTACAGTTATTGCTACACCTGATGAAGGGTTTACGATCATGAGCCATGACCGCATGATCATCCCAAACCCGACCCGGAATCACAATGTATCCATTTGGGTCACCACAACAGGGCTCCGAACCACGTGTTTCCCACCATCAAACCACGTGACCGACCCAAACACAGCACCTGTTTCTCCCAACACAACATTCCTTGTATCAACCGTCACCGTAACCGCATAGCTCCTTCTCTTTACGGCCGAAGTAAACACTAGCCTTGGCGGTTTCACCGTCACCGTCACTCCTCTCGGCGACTCTATCCTCGCCCGATAAACCGCCCCCGCCTGCCCGACATTCGTCGCCGTCCGTATAACAGTTTTGCTCACCAATCCTCTTGTAGAAGTAGGAAACACAGCCGTGATCGAAGGATAATTCAAATTCCCCGGTGACGGTTTCC